TATTTGAGGTCCTGTTTGTATCGGGACTTTGAAAATTCTTACTTGTAGAGATTTTCAAACGAAATGTTTGAAGAGGCCTTGAACGATTTGGTAAGCAGTGAATTGTTAGTACGCACAGGAGACAAAATACGTTACGTTGGTTCTGAATAAACGTTGGATGATTATTCTTTATTTTGGACTATTAATTACGGTTGAACTGATGAATACATTGTTGAGGTGGCTAACGGCGATGATCAGTAACCTGACGTCTGCTGTTGCTCGCTCTATTTCAGTTTACAGCAGTGGACTAAAACGACTCACAGTCAAGTGTCTGAAATGCAGCAGCGAGCTCGTCCCAGCAATCTATTTGTTTGACATTCTCATATTTTCTTACGGCTTGATATTATTCTCTTTTTTCTGGCTATATTTCGTACAAATAAGCAGTTCGATAGCGCACAGCAATTTTGAATGTTTGATTCTGTTGTTTCTATAGTTAAACTTCATCTGGGCCGTGCGCTGGAAGTTGTTCAGAAATCGTGGATTTCCCCTTTGTTTTGATTTTTTTACTATCTTGCCTTTTGCACGTGGTTGATACAATTATAATTTGTAGTTGTGTTTCTTAGAATAAAGATGTTGGAAATTGTTTCACTTTTAGGATTCAAGTCACAGACAAGTCATCATGCCTCAGTTTTTGCCATCGTTCTGCCTATTCATTGTCAGGCATTTTAAGCTGTACGTATATCATTGCTTCATTGGCAGTAAAGCATGTAAGGCTCTGAATTGTTTTTGAAGCTGATCTCATATTATTCAAAAATTTTTGCAACGTATTTAGGGTAGGGAAGTGGACGGTTGGGAGGTTGGGGTCCTTCAAGAAGCTGAATCTTTTTCAGTGTGGTTGTTGTAAGTGCCGAGGTGGAATCTTGAGAGTGGTTTCCGCTCTCCAGGAAGGTAAGGTCCGACGTAAGATCGTCATCTTAAGGGGAAGATTGAGCACTAATACCCGACATTTGATAGTGAAACTTGGAAGAGAGGTTTGCTAGCGGAGGTGTTGTTGAATGGGGGGG